GCTTGTACAAAAACCAGATCTGACCTTTCAACCCTGCACCGATTGTCGTGAAGTTAACCAGGTCACAAAGATGCATTCTTTCCATTGTCACGTGTCAATGACTGTGTGGACGGGATAGTCTCAGCAAAATTTGTCAGTAAATTTGACTTGTTAAAAGGTTACTGGCTGTGTTCAGATGCAGGCAGTAGCGGTTTTTGATACGGGCGACACGGGCGGTTGCCTGGGGCGGCATCGTTGTGGGGGGCGTCACGGGCATCGGCAAAACAAAATGTAAAAAAAATTGCTCGTACTCATGTTTTCTATCACCCATTTGCTGGGAGTTAGGCCGCCGATAAGTTTCTCAAAGCATTTATGCAACTGGGCGATAGTCATTCAGGCAGCTCACCATGTTCTTCTTGGGCACTGGAGTGGCTGACTTAAAGCGGGATGGTATAATAGACTGTAGCAGTGAGAGGTTGAAGATGGTGATGAGAACACTTTAACAGTCTTTGTTGTTGTTACACTCTCAGTATGTATGAGAGTATGAGAGGTGCGTGGCCCTCCAATTCTGTTCCTTCTGCAAATATACCCCAAACCGTGTTGTCAAAACAGTCCTGTAGGCCTGTGGTGGCTTCTGCGGTCCACACTACTCGATAGTGGAGAAGGAAGCATTGGCTTATGGGCTCTATAAAATTTTTGAAGTGTATGCAGGGGCAAGTGATAATCCTATTGTAGCTAACACAGATCAAATTTTTCATTGCTCTGAGTCTGGGGACCCAGTGTTTATGTGTTTCTGTTTTTGAATAATTTTTTGATTTAGCATTGTTCTTGGCATTGTTATTTGTATTTCTATTTTCCTTAATTCTCCCCTGCTTGATTTGTTAGTTTCTAGTCTTTAGGCTTTGTTACTGTGCCTCCTCTGTGTTCCATGTGTTCAAGTTAGTTGTGTTCTCATGTCTGTTCTTACCCAGTCACAGTGTCAAGTCCACGTTTCAGTCTATGTCTCATGTGTCCTGTTTTATTTTGGTAGTCCCTGTCCTGTGTGCAGTGTATTTAGTTTCCTTCCTCCTTTGTCTCACTATGTCATATTTGTCCCATTTGTGTTCCACTTACGTTTGGATCACCTAAATCCATGACAGTCATTCAGGCAGTAATGCCTGGACTGGAAACAAGCACCTGCGGCTACACAATAATTAAATTTTATTTTGAAAATATAAGTAATGTAACTAGAAAAACAAAGTTGTAGAAAGCCTAAACTTAGTTTTACAGAAATTAAATCTGAGACTTTGTTTCATTGTAAGATTATAACAATAGTGGCAATGTTGTTTGGTTTTCAGCAGAACAACGTCTAGCATGTTGGCTGATGTATGTTTTGGATTTGAAAATAAAAGTTGGGCTGATTTTAACACCATTACAAGAAGTGGTGTTAATTATTTTTTATTTGCATACAGTGTTATATTAATTTAAGTATTGTACTAGAAATTTCAAGGATAATAAAGAAATGTGATTAAAAAATGACCACAAATTGTTCTTTAATTTAGTGGAACTTAAAATGTTTGTCAGTCAGTAAACAATTAGTATTGTACAGTCAGAAACTTAAAATCAAGTTGTTCTTAGTACTGTATACGTGCAATGAATAAGTTGTCCAAACATAGTCATCTTAAATAAGCTTTACTTAATTCTTTTTATTTCTGGGAACTATTTAGTTTGTAAGAGTATTGAGTTTCAGTTAAGTTTATTTTCACTTTAGCATATTTATTATTATTATGTCCATTTCGTACTACATACAGATGTTTAGTTAATATCTGCAGACAGACACATTTTCCCTGTAACAATGTTCTCACTCCAACATCAGTTTAAAAATTTGATTCATGTAATGCTGAGCCAGTCATATTTTTGTGATTAAATCATAATTATATCTTAATTAAAGTATAATTTAAGTGCAATGCTGGTGTGCAGGGGTGCTTTGTGGGAATGCTGTTAACTTATTATAAAATGCTATGTCTATTTTAAGCTGTTAGCCAAATAATAAGCAGAGATATTTGTGTCTTTCTTAAAAAGTCATATCCTTAGAGAATATTTGAAAAATGGATCAATGGCTATCACAAAATGAAACACTCTAAACCTGCACTGGGAAAACAATCCCTTATTTCACCTGTGATCACATACTTTGTTTTTCCTGCACAGCAATGACCAACACAAGGAAAGAGTTTGCTGAGTGAAAAAGGATGAAGATCCGGTGCAGCTGGTGTCAGGAGATGAAGAAAAAGCCTGATCACTTTCTCTGTACAAAAACAAGAGGCAAGGGGAAATCTTACTGGAAAATCCTTGGGAAACCTTACTGGGAGGTGGAGGTTAGCAACACAAGCATCTGGGTGTAATAAAAGCAAGCACAAGCCATAAGGAGAACCTCTCACAAAACCCCAAAAATGATTCGCACAAAGATGACAAAGTCTGCACAGTCCTCACAGAACCATCTGCTTCCTTTGCCCAAAGGAAAACCTCACAAACGTTGGAGATTTTTTGAGTTACGAGGAAGGTTTTGTGTCATTCTACAAACCAAAGAGTGTTTGTTTACTGGGGAACTTCACCCCTATCTCAGTTTGCATGTTGAAGAACATGGTGCCACTGCTAGACATCAGTATACATGGGTGTGGTATTTTTTGTGAACTGGTTTGTGTATATGTGCATTTGTTTTTATTATATTTTTTCTTTAAGTGCCATGTTTGAAGCAGGTGCGGGGGTTCTACCCGGGTGTCAATGGTAAATCATTCAGTCCCAGTCTGCTGTCACATATTGCTTTTGCTTCATGCTGGAAATGGAAAATAAATAAACTCATCTATCTCTCTGCCTCTCTCTTCTTTATTGTCCAGTGAGGAGGATATGACGCTTTTATGTGTTTAGCTTAAAAAAACATTTTTTAAATGACCTGCGTGCTAAATGAGGAGTGTCCTTTGCACACAAAGCCCCACCTGTGTGACAAACACCTCCACTTTTACACTTTAGGTATCAAAAATAGATTTTAGCATCTATATGTCAACTGTTTGTATTTGTTTTTTCTCTCTCTCGTTTTTCTTAAAGAATGAATGAACGTTGTTCCCTTTTTTTCCTCATGACGTTTATTTGTTTATTTATTTTCCATGACGTTTCCAGTAACCAAGTATTTCGCAGTGATATGTCGCAACTCCTCACAGTTTCGGGATTGATTTTGCCGAAAGGAAACTGAAACTGCTGAATCTTTATTAGAGAGAAGCAGAGTGTGGAGAAAGCAGCAGATCTCACAGAGGAGCATCGAGATACGCAGGAGCGCAGGTAGGCTGCTCTGCACTTTGGTGTTACTTTGAACTTTTTGAAATGCTTCATGATAAAATAACACGACAGTCTCACTGACCCACTCACTCTCGTGCCTGCATGAATGAAAGCCTTGTTTGTAGAAGAATCAGATAATATTAAATCATTACTCCTTTGTATAATACTATAAGCATTATATATATGTTTTATATGCATTTTATTTTGTGTAGATGCTGTGACGTCATCTTGCATGTGAAATAAAATCTAAAAAGTTGTTCGTTAACTCGTAGTTTGTAGAGTGCAGCACACAACGTTATACAGTTGGGGGTTTTGATATAGGCGACATGGTGGGGGCGGGATTATGGGCATCGGCAAAAATAGTTGCTGGCACCAATGCTGCCAACGCATTTTTGTGCTTGCATGGGTACCAGTCAGTTTTCTATTGCCCATTTGTGGCGAGTAAGGGCGCCCTCCGTTTGCGAGGTGCGCCTGTTGCTTGCTGCACAGGGAGGAGAGGGGCGGGGCGGCGAGGTATTCTCTGGCTCGGTGTAGCGGTATCTAATAACCAGCTCACGAAACAAAAACAAACCAACGGACACAAAAACACCAGACTTATAATTTGCACCGATGTGTTTTCTAAATTCTATCACACAGATATACTCGAAAATTGAGCGCGAGGGCCCTCGGAGCGCCTACTTGCTGCTGCTGCTGTGCTGAAGTCTCACACACAACCTGTCGAGGGGGGGGGGTGCTTCCAAATAAAGCTCATTTCATTCATAATGTTGTCACTCCAAGCCCATTATGTATTAATTATTTTTTCCTGGGTTGCGCGAAATCCCAGAAAAAACCCTATATACGCCGAATCTGTGCACATGCACACAAACTTATACAACAAAACTTCAGTTAATTACACAGATCTTTTCAGGATAAGTAATCTGTCATGGCTATAAAATTAAACCGCAGGTTGCACGGTGTGTGTGCTAAGCTTTTTTTCTACTAGGCTGCTTTTCTTTCCATGACAGGAATAAACAAATCCAACCTGAAATGCAAATACTACTCTTGGAGAGTCATTTTAACTCCTTCTAGTAGCTACAGATTAAATGTCAGGGCGTGAGTGTTTGCCTATAATCATGTGTTATATGTGTGGTCAAAGTTTGAAAGGGAGATGAGTTTTAAAATGAATGTTTAATGTTTATTAAAAATAATAAAACACTAATTACATTTATGTGGCTGTAGCGCAGGTGGCAGAGCAGGTCAGCCACTAATCAGAAGGTCGGTGGTTTGATCCCAGGCTGCCTTCTGGCTGCATGCCAAATATCCTTGGGCAAGATACTAACCCCATGTTTGCCTACTGGTGGTGGTCAGAGGGCCCGGTGGCGCCAGTGTCCGGCAGCCTCGCCTCTGTCAGTGCGCCCCAGGGCAGCTGTGGCTACAATGTAGCTGCCATCACCAGTGTGTGAATGGGTGAATAACTGAATGTAGTGTGAAGGGCTTTGGGGTCCTTAGGGACTAGAAAAGCGCTATACCATTTACGCTTTATCATTTATGTGTTATGTATAGGATCGATATTTCACCACATTTATGCTTTATTTAGGCAGATGGCCACCCTTCCCCAGCCTGGCTCTGTGGGAGGTTTCTTCCTGTTAAAAGGGAGTTTTTCCTTCCCACTGTCGCCAAAGTGCTTGCTCGTAGGGGTCATATGATTGATTTCTGTATGTATTATTACACCTCATAATATAGACCTTACAATATAAAGTGTCTGGAGGCTACTGTTGTTGTGATATATAAATAAAAATTGAATTCAATTATTCAATATTATGTATAAGTACATACATGTTGTAGCTTGATAATGTTTTTTAAAATCTCAGTGGAATGGTGACAGTTTTAATGTATATCTTTACTGACATGAACACTCCACACTAAGACACAAAACTGTAATATCAGTGGGTTTTTTTGTTGCACATTCAGTGCCACTAGAGGGCGCCTAATCACTGTGCAACACAAGCGAGTCCGAGGTGTAATTTTTGACAGTTTCACTTTTTTTTAAAAAAGTATTTTTATATATAAGGGGTAATATATTTGTCTTAGTATTTTATATGTCTGTCTTGTAAAGTGGAACAGAGAAATGATGGGTAACTGAGGGGCAAAAACAATATGGTCATCATTTCTTTTTGATATAAGGACATCAGGACATCATGCAGTAATGCCTTGAAAGGTTACTTTTAACCTGAAAAGCACAACTTTTAATAGTAAAAAAAAACTCTTCTAAAAGTTCCACACAGTGCCGGTGTAGAGTATACACCATAGCAGAAACTATGAACACACAACAAGCCTTTAACAAGACAAGCTGGAACCACACAGGAAACACACCTTGAGGGAGAAAATGACAAAGAACAAAGGAGGACTCAGACATTGTTTACATACTAGGAAATCAGGGAGATGCAAAACACCAGGGAACACAGCTGAATGGAATCAGACTAACGGGCTGGGAAGTGGGAAGCAAAACTGAATAAAAAACACTCTTGATACGTGGACTATCAAAATTAATCATGAGGCAACAAACACTGAGAACAGGACTAAGATGTGAACCATAAAAAAGCCAGAATGTCAACAATACAGAACTGTAATACAGATAAATAAATTAAAAACCTGCAAAACACCCCAAAACTCAAAACTCTAGGATCATGAGAAAAGAAAAAATATTTTTTTTAATTTCATTAGCAGAAGACAAACAATAATAACCAAATTGTTTGGAAAGAATAGCATTAAAATCAATTATTGAAGCAAACTAGTGATAAACTACCCTCACTGATAATTCACACATTACTCATATTATTCCAGCTAAAATCTAAAACCACATTTTCTAAACAGTGCATGTATTTTTAATAATTGAACTCTTACTGGTTTCCCTGTTGTTTACACCCTTTTCTGTCTACTTCAGATACTCAACTCATCCAAAATGAGTCTTCAGGTTTGCCACTGTGGCTGGTCCAAAACGACAAGTTACCAGGGCCTCAGAGTTCACCAGGGAAAGATGGGATGTACACCAAAGGGAATGAGGATCCCTGAACATGAACAATTCAGTTACCTTCCTACAGTGACTATCCTGAGTCCTCAGATCAAATTAACAGACCCATTTATGGATATTTTCAAGAATTCTGTGAAGTCTGGTGAGTGCGCTGATTGTACTGCTGCCCCTAGTTACACTTTGTGCAGCTGCAGAGGATAAATTTGTCACTTTGACAGTTCGTTACAGTGTATTCTCACATTGTTAAGGAATGATTTACTAAAAAATAAACAAAGAATATGCAGGAAGAGTTAAAATAATCGTTCCTTAATGTGTCACACAAACACAACAGATTCAAACGCAAGCTACTACAGCTGGCCCAGAATCACAGTTGATCAGGACCTCGGAGATCTCCAGGGAGGGATGAGATCTACACAAAATCAACTGGAGGAGAACAAAGTTCAACTCTGGAGAAATCATCAAGAAGAATCTCATCAAAAGTGCAGCAGACCAATTTTCAGTCCTTCAGTCAAGGAGGAGGTATGGCTTTTTCACCAAAATATGAGAAATTACACTAGATTAGCATCGAACTGTATAATCACATCTGTTCTCTCCAGCAGAATATGTTTCTGCCATCAAGCTTCATCCCCCAAATCGATTCTCCAGCCAGACAAGCCTCTGCAGTAGAGATAATTAAATCATGTATGCATTTTAATTTAGTTAGTTCATAATGACAACACTCCAAAAAAGCAAGGTGGCTTAATTTAACCATTAATCCTCTTTTGTTACAGTGGTTGAAACTCAGCAACAGTCTGTGCCAACAGGTTCAAACATGGGCGCATATCAGGGGCTTGATTTAGGCTCTGGTGCACAGGTACACAGATTTTCTTTTCAAACATATCAAAGAAGTGTTAGGACAACTTGTCAAGTGACACCCACTGAATCTCCACTTCTACTTTCCTTTTACAGTCTGTGTTCATGTCTGTGTCACAGACCTTCAGCAACCACAGTGATCACACAGACAACACAACCACAAAGATGGAGACAGACACATCATGTACGCATTACAATCTTCACAGCTGATGATAGTTCAAGCCAGCTTTGTTTGGTAATAACTCTCTTGTTCCTCTGCAGTCTTTGAGACTCCTCAGCGCTCTCATCAAAGCACCGTGAGCTCAGACAAAGCCCGTCGAGCTCTGGACTTCTCTACTGGTGGACAGCAGGTACTGCAGATTTCTTAAGTACAGTTATTCAGATGCATGTAAAATATGGTTTTAGTATAAATGTGAAACAATTTTTCTAAGAGTTAAACTGTATAAAGATTAATTTCATTACTTACTGCTTTCATATTTTAGGTGGTACAACTCTTGGAGCTTCCTGGGAAAGCAGCCCAGCACGCAGCAATCTGCCCCGAAGAAAAAGAAAAGGAGATAGACAGGCTGAAAGAGAAGAAGACTAAAAAACTACAAAAGGTAATGCAGTTTTAATAGTTGTTAAAATAGTGGTTCTGAGTAACAGTGTAATAATTAGTAGAATTTTCAATCACTAAAACTGAAGAAATTCTAAAAATGCTCCAAAAGGTTCCAACAGCACAAACACTGCTTGGAGGTCCAGTTCAGACACTCATAGTAGTGGAAGTAAAGCCTCACAGAGTGTTACAGGCTACTGCTGCATGTGTTTGCCCACCTTTTGGTCAAAGCCACCACACCTCTAGCTTTAAACCTCCCTAGTATCCACATTTAGTTAAACTGCAGAAATATCGCAAAGACACAAAAACCTGGATGGCCTCTAAATTTCTGCTTCTAAATTCACATAAAACTGAGGTTATTTTACTCGGCCCTGAAAATCTTAGAAATATCATATCTAACCAGATTCTTACTCTGGATGGCATTACCTTGGCCTCCAGTAACGCTGTGAGAAACCTTGGAGTCATTTTTGACCAGGATGTGTCCTTCTATCATGAGACTTTTGACTCTGAGCCATTTTTCCTCTTTCAAGGCAAAACAAGAAAAGATGAAATCTGATTTGCAGCAGAAAATTCACATCAGAGAGCTCAAGATGGCTGAAGTCAGATCATCGGAAATAGACTGCAAGGTAAGGATGTTTATTTATTTTTCATTTGTTTGGTTTCTTGCTTTGATGTTACTTTAACACATCCACTCTCTTTTCAGGGTACTCTGGATGCCGAATGGTTGGAAGTCAATCATTTCTTCTCAGAGGCTATCAGAGTTGTGGAAGATGCTCGAAAGAAAGCCCTTAAGCCTCTGGAGGAGAGGTTGGTACTGTTAGTTTATCAGTGGAGAGCAGCTGAACATTGCCAGTGTGCTGTTATAGAGCTGTACATTTTACTCTCTTAAATACTGTTTAGGAGACAGAAAGTGAAAGGAGATGCTCAGGATATCATCCAGAAGCTGCAAAGAGAAATTGATGTGCTCAAAAAGGCCATTGCTGAAGCACCCAAAAACCCAGACTTGGAGGTGAACTTTGAGGACCTGAAGTCCATCTTCTGGTCTTTTTAACATCTCAGCATAAAAGTGCATTTCTGCACTTTGGCAATTCTGTTTCGTTAAACTCATTAAATCTAATCTTGTCATACGCTGATGTTTACTGTGTGCACACACAGGTTTCGCCACTAACAGGCCTGAATGAATCTACTGACTGGAAAAATGTACAAGTTGACACTTCACTCTCATTTGGCACACTGAGAACTACGACTTCAGCCATGATGAAGCAAATTCACGACGAACTGGAAAAACTCTCATCCATCGGTGCGCCCATCATTTTGTTATACTTATATTAAAATCTGTATTTTCTGATTTATTGCCACTTACTAAAATGTTTGTTTCCACAGAACTCAGGAGGATTACAAAATTTGCAGGTGTGTATTTCCAAATGAAAACCTTATTTAAATGAAAAAATGTGATTGTTTTGCATTTTGATGTTTAATACAGATACATACTGATGAACAGCAGTAGGTCTTGTAATGGAAAATTAATAAGCTTTAAAAGTTGTGAAATTTTAAAATAAAAACCAAAGCTTTATAGAAATTTAGCAGGATTCTCTCAAATTCCAAAATAAAAAAAGCCTTCAGCTCTTATTGTTTTCCAGAATTGAACTCGTCTTGTTAAGGTTTAGTTGGATGCAGACAAAATTAATATGTAGATTTCCAAAATAAAACATAATTTTCTAATGTACTCTTTCAAAGTTATTTAAGAAACAAATGGCAAAGATGAGTTTTAACATCGTCTGTAGCGATTACTTTCACTCATTATCTAGCTGATGGTGATGATTGGTCATCGGGCAGGGAGACAGTTTGTATAGCACAAGTCATATTTTTGTTATTTCAGTTTTTTCCTATTTAAACACAAAGGCATAAAGTTTCTCCTCCTCAACTGTAACTGCGTCACTGTGGAAACAAATCGCCCCACAGTAATTTGTCTGCTTATATATTTCTAAAACTGCTCACTTAACTGCAATCACTTCCCCCCCTGAAAATAGGGTCTATGGAAAAACATGAATAATTATTTTTAAGGATATGAACACGGTTAGCTCGGGCACATTTTATTACTCTCAAATTTTGTCACGTGAACGATATTTGACACCTCTTGGCGAGCAGCAAACTCAACAAAATCAATGCACTGTGATTCAGTACTGTAAGATTTCAGGAGTTATGTGAATAAAATATTGGAAAATTAGCACAGTTATTAGCTAAAAAATATTAATATATTGTTTATTTACCAATGAAAAAATTAAATAGTGAGTTAGCTAACATAAGTAAGTAGTGTTTACTTGTTATGATGACAAGACCTCAAGGGGTCAGCATGGCGAACACAATGCCCTGATGCTCTTTTGTTAGCCTAGCTGCTTGTCGATAGTGTGAAACCTCTCTTTATTGCTTTATCCGGAGGAAGATGTGAAAAAAAAGTTCAGGGAACAGTTAGGGTATCATGCATGCTCATATCTCATCTCCTTAAGATTTCATATACAAATATTATTTCTTACTGAGGACAAACCTGTTGTTACTAATGTTTCCATAGCAATACTTACCACCATGTTTGGGTCAGCTTTGGCTGAAATGTTTAATAGAAAAAGTAAATAAAGTAAGGGGAGTCTTCTATTGTAGTTTATCCATTACTCTTGTGATGCTTCCACACTTCTACCCACCACACGGTTCTGTTTTTTTAATCACTTGTGTTCTTTTGACTGCAGTGGACGTGAAGCTGGACCCCACCACCGCACACCAAAGCCTTGAAATTTCTGATAATGGGAAAAAAGTGAGAGATGGTGGAAAGATGTCGAAAGATCCTGATTCTCCACAGAGGTTTAATATGTTTGGAAGTATCCTGGGGCTCAACAGGCTGTCCTCTGGCAGGGCATACTGGGAGGTGGAGGTCAGCAAAAAGACCGGGTGGGATCTGGGTGTGGCGAGACGTGACGCAAATCGCAAGGGGACACTCTCAATCAGTCCTGACAACGGTTACTGGGCTACTGTACATTATGAAGACCAGAAATATGCAGCCCTGGCAACACCACCTGTGAGCCTTTCGGTTAAAGAGAAACCTCGGAAAGTCGGGGTGTTTGTAGATTATGAGGAAGGTCTCGTGTCCTTTTACGATGTGACATCTCAGTCTCACATCTACTCATTTACTGAGTGTTCGTTCGGTGGTGAGATCCTTCCATACTTCAGTCCACATCTGAAACAAAATGAGAAAAACAGCGATCCTTTGATTATCACTGCTGTGCAAAAACAGTAGTAATCCCATGCACTGGATCTGGTGCAGTGAATGCATCACTGGTAAGCAATATATGTGTCCAGGTGTGCAGTAACAGTTTAATGTTTTTTCTGATGAGTTTTCTTAGATTTTCCAAGATTGTCCAAATTTCAACATTTTTAATTTTTCAACATGTTTCATTATAACATGCATGAAGATCACCTGACTCAGGTTTTTACGTACCATATTTTCTATTCGGTGTGCAGTAACTGTTTGCTCACCTGCCCATCGGGCATTTGATCGGTCAAATTTCAGCATTTTTCTTATAACATGCATTAATAAAGATCCTCTGACTGAGGCATCAATTTTAGAGTTTTATCTTTTATGTACTATATTTTCTAACTTTTAACATTTGAAAAGTAAAAAATAAGTCATACATACAGCATTGGAAATGTATAAATTTTACAGAAACAATATGAACAATGAAATAACAGAAAATTATTAACCTGGGCAAAACAGAACACTGGAAACTAGGAGGTCTGGAGTTGTTAAAACACTTTAGACACTATTCCTGTTTCTTTTTTTTTTTTTTTTTTTTTTTATTGATCACCAGCTAGAGGTGGTGCATTTTTCAAAATCAGCTATTAGCCAATTATTTGGAGCATTAAAATCATGCACCTAGATGAACTTCAGGAAGTCATTTCAAATGAATCCCTTGGATGCAACAGGGCACTTGACTTTCTTGTACATGGACTGATGTATGTATGAATTGGAATCAGAATACTTTATTAATCCTTAAGAAAATAATATAAGTGTATATATGTGCTTTTCTACTCACTTTTACTACAAGCCTTGGGGGATCGGGGGGTTATTCAGGACTCAGGATCTATGACACACGGGGAGCCAGGGATCAAACCACCAACCTTACCATTAGCAAATGGCTTGCTCTGGCAACTAAGCCACAGGGGCCCTGTTGTTGAAAGTTGACTTTAAAATATTACGTTAACTTTGTGCGAATAAGCTTTGACTGTTGTCCTAAGAGTTGCAAGACTGGAATACTTGAAATCTCTGTGCCTGTGACATTTGGACTCTGCTGATTCTTTTCTGCTGTGTACAGCTGTGGTCCACTCCACCGCTGTATAAACACATACAGCACCCCCTTCCCACAGCTCTAACTGTAAATGCTGTTTGTTATAATAGTTGACCAAAGGATGGATTACGAGTTCTGCTTGTTTGTTGTGTTTTTGCTGATTGTCCATCACTTATTGTATCAACAAACTGTTTACTTACTTACTCTTTGTAGCTCAGTTTTACAGATCCTTTTTGTAACTATTTCAATCTGCTCAATCATTTGTTTCATTTTGTACTTTTTCTACTCAGACTTCTTATATTGTGGTCTTCAGGAGTCGCTGTATGCCATTTAAAAGATGTGTGTAATATAATTTATGACATTAAATGGACAGAAATTAAAGAGACTATCATTTAGGAACTTTTTTTTTTTTTTGCATTTTTTGTCATGGTGTTACCACAAATATATTTGATAAGTAGATATCTTTAAAATCTAGAACTAGATTTAAAAAATATAATATATAAATAGAACGTAAAATATCAACTATTATCATTAATAATAATAATAATAATAATAATAATAATAATAATAATAATAATAATAATAATAATAATAATAATGAAATGACATCAAGACTGTCATTTCTTATTTGTCCACTAGATGCCACTAGTGAATTTGATGCACACATTCTTCATTGTTGTTTTGTGCTATGTAGAAGAGAGTTCTGGATAATGGATGGAAATATTTCATGTCCTCTTTGGAATACTCTCATGATGGTCAGTTTCAGTCAATCAATCAGTTTATTTATAAGCACATTTAACAACAACACAGGTCTCCCAAAGTGCTGTAAAAGTAAAACTAAAACACAGAGAAAAAACAAAACAAGGCTCATTAACAATTAAAAGCTACGGAATAAAGATGTGTTTCTGGACGAGGTTTACAAATGCTGAGTTTTGGAGAGGTAATAATTTGAAGAAGCAGACTATTCCAGTTTAGGAAACTTTTCAGCTGACCTAAGAATTCTATTTGGAGTATTTTTAGTTTAAAAATCAAAGTGGTAGGAGGGTCCATTTAGAGACTTAAAAACAAGCAATGAACTCTTAAAATCAATTCTATAACATACTGGAAGCCAATGTGAATGAGAAACATTGGGGAAATATGGTTGTGTTTAAGAGTGCCTGTAAACTGTCGGGCTGCAGCATTCTGAACAAGATGAGAGAGCAGAGTCTGGCTGATACCAAAATAAAGACTATTACAGTAGTCAACTTGGATAAAATAAATGCATAAATCACTTTCTTGAAGTCAACAGATGACCAAATGTTCTTAATTTTTGCAAGGAGCCTGAGCCAAATAAATAACAGGATTTATTTGTTTCTCTCAAATAAAAAAATTGCCATCAAAGAACACTCCCAGATTTTTTGCAACTGGACTTCTGGACAGAGGGTCCCACTCCAGCCAAAGTGCACAGAGAAACAGGCTCAAAGTGTTAAAAAACAGCTGAGAAATCTGCTGGAACAGAAAGATCATAAGCTTCGGCCCCTGGTCAGCTCATCACTGGATCCACTTCAGTTTGCCTACCAACCTGGCATTGAAGAGGATGATGCTTCCTGCAGAAGTTCTCTGATGACTCTGCAATAGTCTGCCTCATCACTGACATCGACGACAGGGAGTACAGAGAACTGACCCAAGGCCAAGCTGGTGGTAGAAAAGTAGTAGTAACAGAAAAATCATGACACAATATGGTGGAGCAATAGAGAAAGCAAGCATACACAGCAACGGAGTTCAACTCAGCAAAAACAGTCCACAATTCACCTCTTTCCTTTTGATGAACAATGATAATGGGCTAACAGTTAACAGTAACACATGCTGCCACGTTTATAGCATTCTGTGGATGGCAGTTACCTTAAACAGGGGAAGCAGTGAGGAGAAATGAATGAATAATACTGACACACAGCTCTCGCTCTCATTCGTCTGTATTGAGTGAAGGAAGAGACGCGCGAAGCATTACCTTGAGGCGCTACCAATGGATCGACGCCCAGGCAAAACTCTCACCACTCATCACTCTTTACATTTCCATTGCATAGTCCATACAGTAACACAGTCAAAACAACAAACAAAACAATAATAAAAGCATGCCACAAAATATAAGGTCATTATTTCACTGAGAATAGTATTTGCTTACAATTTGCACATAACCAAAAGCAGAAGTAAAATTAGATACTCAGTCTAGTGTGCCTCCATTCACAATTTTATTAAAATTAAATGTTGGAAGCTGAAATTTTATCCAGGTAATCCAAGAATCCTGTATCATTTCACCATTTACAAGATGATTATCTCAATCAAAGCAAACCTGAAAACTTGAAGCAGAGCAGAAATTACATTCAGTTTTCTTTATTCGGGTCTATAAGTCAATCTGCTGGCTCAACTAATTTTGTGATTTGTTTGACAGTTAGAGTGGCAATCACTCAGCAGTGATCGTTACATACATCTGCTTTAGATCTTATCGGACTCATTTCTATGGGGCTAATAACCTAAATTGAATAAACTGATGACACCAGTAACTGTATATAAAAAAATAATGTACCCAGAAAGACAGTTTTAGGTGTGGTTTGGATTAAAAATTAGTAGACTGGATTGGATAAATGCCTTCATTTGTTGGTTGCAGTCTCCTGCTATGATGTCTGAGTAGCTGCAGCTGAAGCAGTGATATCCTGTACTTTCTAGAGCAGATCAAGTTCTAACTGTGCCTCACACCCAGTTTAACATAATGGATGAAGTTATTAAGCAACACAGATAAGGACGATATGTTTATACGTTCTTGCTTGGTGGACAGTTAGTAGTGCAGTGCGTTCTTCCCCTTTTTTCCTGTTTACTCATAAAGTAAATGACACCTTTTATAACTGGAATATACAAATCCCTCTCATCAGTGGATCATTCATTCAGGGGAAATAGTCCCAGTCTTGTATTTGGATATTCAAATCCTAACCTTGACAAAAAAGAGCTCTCTTTACTGTATATCAATATCTACTTGAGAGCTGTCTTCGTGAACACACCGAATAGAGAAGAAATTATAACATGTAAGTTTAAAACCTGTAATATATTTTATGTATGTGGTGCAGAGGTGATGTGTAGAGAATATCTGAAATATCTTGTCAGGTGTGATACTAAAAAAAAAAAAAAACTAAAAAATATGTTACCTCAACTCTTACTGAAAAGATGAACTAGCATTAAATAAAAAAGAGCTTTCAAGATTAGTAATATCATTAATTTTATCAGTTTGTTCATGAGCTGCTGAATTATTTAAAAAACAGTTTCTGTTCTGGTTCATAATAGTTCACACTATTTTTCTTTAAGTATGTTGGTCTTTTTCACATGTACTTCATATTTCCTACTATTTTGTATTGATCCATCTTTTCTTTCATCTGACATAAAGTGAAAAAAAAGAAGTTTTGTTCAAGTCTTTGTTTCCTTGAGTAATAAAACATCACTTTAATCTGTCAGATCAAAGATGCAGTGGAGTCTGTATCTGCTTATTCTGATGGGTAAGTGGATTGTTTACCAAATATACTCTTTTTAATTTAAATAAAATGAATATAGAATATTTATGAATATAAATGAACTACTTGACATGTTTTTTTCCCCATTTTATTCTGTTAAGAAAAAAATATCAATAATCCTATATAATACCTCTGTAGGCACTTTGTTATATACCATATCTGTAAGTGTGTCTTTGTATTTGTATTTATTTGACTGTTATTCTCAGCTCTGTACAAGATTGCCCATGTACTTGGACCTATTGTATGTATGCAACTGGCAAATAAAAGACTTTAGCTTAGATTCACTCAGTCTTCTCACATCTGCCCATTCACTACAGTCAGAGTCTCATTTAAGTAACGATGTTAACCTGTAATATTTAATTTCTTCAGTCAGACTATGTTTATCATATTTCTGTATTTCAGGTCAGGGTTGCCTCTTTACATGCTGCCTGTATGAGTACCACTTTATTAAAGAAAACAAGAGCTGGTCTGAAGCACAGAGATACTGCAGAGAGAAATATACAGACCTGGCCAAAGTGTTTGACATGACAGACATGAGCAGACTCCGTAACTCTGCACAGAATCAAGGAGAAGCCTGGATTGGACTGAACAACAACACAGGTGGAAACAGGACGTGGCATTGGTCTCTGCCAGGAGTGAAATACATTCATAATGACAGCAGCTGGAATCTGAATGGAAGATACGGTACTGAACCTGGGCCTGGAAACTGTGGGAGGAAAAGAGACAAGCTGGTAGATGTTTCATGTCACCATCCTATGTGGTTCATCTGCTATGATGGTGAGGAGATATGAATAATATTAAATAATATTGTAATATCATGATATAAAAATATAATGCAATCACATAATTATGAAGTGAGAAGATAGAGACAGACAGAATTTCAGGTGAGAAATTATTGAGGGATGTCTTTGTGTGTTTTTCTGTTTGTTTTACAGAAAAGAAGAAAGACAATAAAACATTGTATTTGATTGAGGAGAAGAAGAACTGGACACAGGCTCAGAGCTACTGCAGATATAATCACACTGACTTGGCCAGTGGACTGAATCAGGTAGATGGAGAAGAAATGAAGGCTCTGTTCATTGGCCGTAACATGAGTGTGTGGATGGGTCTGTTCAGAGACAGCTGGAGGTGGTCAGATGGGAGTGATTTCTCTTTCAGATACTGGGATATGGAGTTATTCAATGATGAACAAAGCAACAAGACATGTGCTATGACTCTGTTAAACAGATCAGGAAAATGGAGCTCTGATGAATGTGGCAAAGAAAAACCCTTCTTCTGTTATGATGGTGAGTTTTTATCAACATGTGTCTGACTGGTTTCTCTAAAAGGAGGATCACTGGAATCACTGACAAGATCCAACTGAACATATTGTATATTTTTCCTCCACCTACATCTGCATGTTTGCTGAATTAATCTCATAAACATGAACACACTTAGTTGACAGTCAGATGACTTTAAATATCTGTGGGATAACTTTGAGCTACTGGTAGGTTCAACCAACGTTTTAAAGTCTCTGTTGTCTGTAAATATGGAGAGAAGTTGTTTTGGATTCCTAATAGTTTAAAAACATAAATATTTCAGGATGTTGTCGACCTGTCTGCACAAAGTTCATTAACATTATTATACTGTTTTCTACTGAGGGCAGAGTAACACACAAGCTTTTTCTAGGTTTTTTTATTTTTTATTTTTTTATTATTGGAACAAAATAAACAGCACAGAGAGTTTCTCATGATTAGAGCTCACATAGATTCAACTCAATGTGTTGTTTTTTTTCTCTTTATGGCAGATAAATTGATCCTGATCAAAGAAAACAAAACCTGGAAGGAGGCCTTGGATTACTGCAGAGAGTCTCACAGGGGACTGGTCTCCATCACTAACCCTTACCAACAGAGATGGGTGGAGGTGAGAGCCAAGAATGCCTCGAGTCCTTTTGTCTGGCTCGGCCTGCGCTACTCCTGCACTCTGGATCTGTGGTTCTGGGTCAATGACAAGGTGGTCTGCTATGAGAAGTGGAGCAGAGAGGGAAAGACTGAGGAGTGTGGCAGGGCTGTGGGCATGCAGAGTGGAGGACAGTATGAGTGGGTCAGTCAGAGGGACAATGAGAAATACAATTTTTTATGTTTTAAATAAGACTTCAGAACTATTTTAGAATTTAGACACGAGGCAAAGTAAGATTTATCTCATCTCCATTTATTACAGATTTCATTCTGGAGTGAATTGGGATTTTGTAGTTCTCTGCTGTGAGTCACTGGGGTGTTTTGGTGATGGCAAAATTTCAACTAAGAGTGAAAAAAAAATCTATAGCTGTAAACGACACAATATTGGTAAAATTTGATATTCGCTAAGGTAATTATGGTTTCCTCATGTTCTGCTTGACATTCCGTTTCAGTGATATCATAATTGCTTTCTTCATTATTGCTGCATTACTTCATTATTACACTTTTGTTGATAGATAAAAAAGTCTGTTTTAGTTTTTATGTTTGTTGTTTATTTTTTTCATCTTGTAATCTTTTTGTCTTTACGAACTTATAAACTGGCCTTTGTGATAATATCTCCAGTCTTTAATGGTTAATAAATATTAAAAGCTAATGTGACGAACCAGAATATTTATATTGTAAACTTTCACAAAACCACTTAACTACTTTTTTCATAATGATGTATTATTTAAAGTGACATGCTGTAAACCGATGACCTGTGTCTGTCACAGTCGACACTCCTTACAGTAGTTCTTGGTGCATACAGGAAATCCTTTAAAATTCTCACCCATTCGACCCTAATGAGACAAAATGTCACTTTCTCAAAAACTGCTTCATGCACCTGAGAACTCTTGGCATCAAGGGCGTAGATTTGGTTTTGGCATTGGTGGGGACGGATGATTCAACCACCGAACCCTGCCCTGTTTCCTTTTTTTTCTTGATAAAAAGAGGAGAAATATACTTGCCTACATATGCTATTCTACATGCTTTTAAACCATTTCAATATAGTCACATTTTTGATTTTCTCACTGAATTCTATAGGACAAGGATTTAATGAGTATAAGCAAAGGACATATAACAAATAATGATATTTAATGTAGCAAAGAGCCAAAATATACAAGGAGATTGTTTATCCAATCAAAAAAAATAAAAATTAGCTTAACCATGACAGCGTTCATCTGTTGGCTTCTGGAACACATATTTTTCAAAGTGAACAGGACGACACTGGTTTCCAACTTTGTCACAAGCCACTATCACTTTTGTTGTGCTTTTCGTAATTCTTGTAACCCTACAGCTGCTGGTGTTCACTTCAACATCATGTATCTTAAAAGTTGAGGTACTGATGCATAAGTTATCCCGAACACGCCTGCCGGAGCCATTACAGATCTTCACCACACGTTTCTCATCCTTCTTCTTGATGAAGGACTGCAGAGGTCTTTTGCAGAGTCTTTCATTCTCCAAGTACCTGAAGAGTCATATCAGTGTCCTATGTTAATGTCAGGACATTAACCTTTTTTCTTTAAAAAAACAAACAAAAAAAAACCAAACATAACACTTACAACATATAATTATTTTTAGTAAATGCTAAACAGCTCTTACTGGCTATTTTGTTGAGTACACCTGTTCAAAACAAATATAATCAGTCAATCACATAGCAGCAACTAAGTGAATTTAAATATGTAATATGGTTAAGATGATGCCCTGAAGTGCAAAACAAGCATCAAAATGGTGAAGAAAGGTGATTTAAGTGACTCAAAATGTGGTAATGTTGTGGTTGCCAGAATAACTGGTTCAATTATTTAAAAAAAAGTGCTACAGGTGTTTTCTCATACAACCATCTCTATGGTTTACAGAGAATGGTCTGAAAAAGAGAAAATAACCAGTGAGTGTCGGGTCATTGCGCAGAAATGCCTTATTTATGTCAGAGCTCAGAGGAGACTAGTCAGACTGCTCAAACTAGATTTTTGAACTAACACTGAGTTCAGTGGGCTTAAATGTCCTCCATAATCACCACATCTCAATCCAATATTACCTTTGGGATTTTGGTGAAACGGGAGATTTGCATTATAAATCTGCATCCACTGTGATGCTGTCATGTCTACATGGATCAAAATCTCAGAGGAATGTTTCCAGCACCTTGTTGAATCTATGCCAAGAAGAATGTAAGCATATGGTTTGTTGAAAGCGTACTTGTGTACTGGATCCCATTGTGTTTTGCAAGTTGCACTGTTAAGGAAAAGACAGCATTCTATCGATCCACCTATCTATAAGCCTTTAACTCACATTTGCCATGCCTCCTTTGATTTTCTGTTGAAGTTTTGCTGAAGGATGTGCTTCTGAATAAATCTGTTGAATCCATTATTGTTCCAGGTCCTCTGACATGGGCGATTGTTGTACTTGTTCCGTGGGTTGGAGTTTCGGCTTGGATTGTAAACCATTGCATTCCATCCATGCAGGAGTGCGAGAGTGCACAAGATAGTCAGAAGGACAGCGTTCATTTTATCTACTGTGTATGAAAAAAACATTGTGAGTACATTTATTCACACATTCAGAAACAATGTAATACATGTCTAACACTACAAAGGTCTGTATTAATCAACGTTTTCTTGTTGTTTTTTTAAACAAGCCATTATTTGACTATTAATCAAATTATAGACAAAGATGCTAACGTGTCATGTACACTACTAATTATAGAGCACTAAAGATTCAGCAATAACCATTTTCATACATATATTTCATGGTAATAATTTTCGTACTCTGTTCGTTAATATATAAAATATATAAAAAAATTATTAAACCTTTGAACGCTTAAACTATATCCTCATCTAACGGTGGAGCTCAGTTGCCCTCCTGGCAACCATCAAGTGTTGGGTATGTCTCGCATCAGTGCACAGGTACAGTACTCACAAATTATTGGAAATCCCTACTGGTGCTACTGTAAAAGCTCCAGTGCTTCCCATAATTCTTCAGCAGATCATCCTGCCAGTTAAAACACTTAAACTGTAAACTTAACCATCTCAGGTATAAAGTAGTTCTTTATTGCTTATTGTGAGATTTATGTAACAAAACTGGTGGAAATAAATTAAAACAAATGCACTGTAAGTGCATTGTAAGTCTAATATCTACTTTTTCACATCAGGGTCATCATTGTCATTGTAGTGGTTTTACTAAAATGTCAGAAAATTAAAGGTTTTCAAAAGACTGTTACTGCTACTTGATAAATTATAAAAGATTGTCTTTATATGTATTGTTAAAGGCAGAAACTGTGCGTGTGTGTGTGTGAAGAGGTCTTACCTGATCACATGAACTTCCTATGTTGTCAGTGTAGCTGTTTTAGTATGGAGGAGAAAAACAACTGAGGTTTGAGTCTATGAAACGTTTCCTTCTTTTAAACCAGCATCTTCTCTGGTGTGAACTATAACAACCAATCATCTCAAATTTCCACTTTCTATAAAGTATATGTTAATGATCATTTCAAGGCAAATAAGTAATGTGTAAATGTTTTTTGACACAAACTGAGAGCACACCCTTCTGTTTCTGTAAATGAAGAAGTTCACACTTGTGTCTGGTGTTAGTGTGAATTTTCCATTTTACACCCACAGTGGGTGGACAACAAATAAACTGAAGTATAGAAAAACAGAAAAAGAACACAAAGAGCACCGGCCACGAGCTAAAATATTTCACTAGACTGTCATTGAACACCTTTATTATGAATCCATCATATTCCACATGATTGGCAATCAATAAGCAAAATATGGTTGAAGTGTTTTGCTTTGTACGGCATTCACAGTGAGTTACAACAAATTTAATGTGAAGTATTGAATTGTTTTTAACATTATCATGAAATAACACACGCTCACTCAAATGTATACAAGTCACATCAAATAGCAAATTCACTCATTGCACTCCTTTCTAAACTCATGTTTTATATATAGAAATAACTTTTTTTACAGCAACTAAATTCTTTTCACGAGTAACATGTGACAGAGTCATTGTGGTAGCTATAAAATGAATTGAGTAAAAATGTCTAACATGTTATTGAAATCACACAGTAAAGTATCCTTTGCTTATCTTTTGATGTTTTGATCATTTTGTACAATTTTTAGAGCTCTTTTTTAAATCTAGTACCTGGAGCAGATTCTTCTCATATTTTACAAAGCTTTGCTTCTTCATAACACTGACACAATGTAACAATCTGTCTTATTTTTATATAAACCTGGAAAAAAATCTGACATTTTTAGGTTTTAGAAACAAGCAGAAAGCAGAAAGTACAAACTCACTGGTTACATCTAGTGGACGATTGAGGAATAACAGTCTGGAAAAACTACAAGGTCAAACATGTTTTATTGTATTATTTGAACCAACATCTTGACAAAAAATATAAAGTTGAAAAAAAAAAGGTTCTGTAAATGACACTTTTATCGATTTAAATACATAATATATAATGATCACAACTGTTGTGGACTTTAAATGAAAACAGTTAAGAACAAGAGAAGAACTCATTCATCTTTTTACATATAAATATAATGAATAGCATTTATAGTCAGAGCTTAGAGAAGGGCCTAACAGTTGCTCAAATATGTGTGTGTCTCTTGTGACTTCAAAAGCATGTCAGTCTTGCAGCTATGAGCTCTCCTAAGAAAGGGCAGACAGTACAGTATAACCTTATTTACACAAAACTGTGTTTCTAAAACATTTTTGTAATTCTCACAATTATTAGGAGGTAGAGCGGGTCAATTAATTAGAAGGTCAGTAGATTGATCCCTGGCTCCTCAAACCTGTGTGTCAACGTATCTGAGTTGACTCATGTGCTCTCCCTGGAGGGTGAATGTCAGGGTTAAAGAGCTTAGACACTGGAAAAAAAGCACTTGTGTCAATGAATGAATGAGGCTTGTAGTAAGAAAGTGTTTTGAGCGCTCAAAGCAAGTAGAACAGCACGTTATAAGTACAAGTAAATGGTCAAAATGATCAAGTGCCCATTTGTGTCAAAGGGTTAATGTGAAATTAATTTACTGCTAAAATGTCACCTTCATCTATGCATGATGATAATGGTTGACATGTGACATGGCACTCAGAGGTTTTGGCTTCAAATTTACTCATGGCATTTACAAAGGACATTGTCCAAATTTTATCAGGGACAGGTGAGTGGGTCTCGTCTGCTTAATCCTGGAGTGTAAACACATTTTTAATTCCAAGTTGGAGAATGACCACTTGGATGAAGTAAACACAGGGGTAATGCCAAGCAAGGGCGTAGATTTGGCAATGGACGGAAGGGACATGTCCCCACCAATATCCAGCGATTATTGAATTGTCCCCACCAATAATTTGATCTCTTCGAGTAAAGAAAAACAAAACTGATAGAAATAAAAAAAAAAAGCGATCTGTCAACGTCTCATTCACCCAGCGGTGCAGAAAGAGTTAAATTACGTTCTCTACTGGAGTCCTATATCATGTGACAAATATGGCCAATGTGATTGGCTGTGCCTTTCAGGGAGCTCTGTTTAGTTTTAGCAGCGGCAATCCTGCGCTGCCAGGACCTGCAAGGAGGAGAGGAGGATGGCAGCAAAAAGAACCTGGATATAAGAAAGTATTTTTCAAAGAAACCTGTAAGTCACTTAAAGTCAAGTTCACTCATAAAACCTGTCCATCATAATAACGTTACAGGCTATGCAAGGCAATACATGCCAACCCTCCCGTTTTTTCTCGGACAATCCCGAATTTCAGTGCCCCTCTTATTACTCTTTCTGGGTTGCAAAATAAACTTTTAAAAAATTCAGGCGAGAATGTAGCTGTGCAAACTTCAAATATCTGAACCGGGGAGAACAGCAAACTCCCGGCACATC